ATTTTTTTTTAAATGAATGTACAGTAGCAAGATCCTGTCTCAATAAAATAAAATAAAACAAGATAAAAAAGTAAAGATATATGTGGGCATGGGCATGCCATGGCACACCTGTAGAAGTCAGAGGACAACTTATGTGAATTGATTCTCTTCTTCCATGCCTGTCGGGGGATTGAACTCAGACCCTCGGCCTTGGCAGCAAATGCCTGCATCTCACCAACACCCTTGCAACACTGTTAAACACTCACTTACTAAAAGAGATCATGCAACAGACTGTCATATATTGTCGAGCTAATGACAGCCTTGTGGAGGAGGAGCCTCTCTAGTCTAGTTTGTTGGGTATATGTGTGGTCTGTGCATGTGTGTGCAGGTGTATCATGTATGGTATCTTCCTCAGCTGCTTGTCCACACTGCATTTTTAGCACTTAAAATTTTTTAAATTATAATTTAAATTTTAAGAGTTGAATTATAAAACCATGTGATGGCCTTTAATCCCAGCACTCAGAGGCAGATGCAGGCGGATCTTTGAGTTAAAGGGCAGCCTAGTCTACAAAGTGAGTTCCAGGACCAGTGCTGGGAACAGAACTCAGGTTCTCTTGGGCTCTCTACAAGAACAGTGGCACAGTGCATGCAATTTTTTTAAAAGACTTATTTNGCCTGTCTCAATAAAATAAAATAAAACAAGATAAAAAAGTAAAGATATATGTGGGCATGGGCATGCCATGGCACACCTGTAGAAGTCAGAGGACAACTTATGTGAATTGATTCTCTTCTTCCATGCCTGTCGGGGGATTGAACTCAGACCCTCGGCCTTGGCAGCAAATGCCTGCATCTCACCAACACCCTTGCAACACTGTTAAACACTCACTTACTAAAAGAGATCATGCAACAGACTGTCATATATTGTCGAGCTAATGACAGCCTTGTGGAGGAGGAGCCTCTCTAGTCTAGTTTGTTGGGTATATGTGTGGTCTGTGCATGTGTGTGCAGGTGTATCATGTATGGTATCTTCCTCAGCTGCTTGTCCACACTGCATTTTTAGCACTTAAAATTTTTTAAATTATAATTTAAATTTTAAGAGTTGAATTATAAAACCATGTGATGGCCTTTAATCCCAGCACTCAGAGGCAGATGCAGGCGGATCTTTGAGTTAAAGGGCAGCCTAGTCTACAAAGTGAGTTCCAGGACCAGTGCTGGGAACAGAACTCAGGTTCTCTTGGGCTCTCTACAAGAACAGTGGCACAGTGCATGCAATTTTTTTAAAAGACTTATTTATTTTTTTAAAGACTTTTGTGCATTTGTGTTTTATCTGCATTTATGTCTGTGTCAGATCCCCTGGAACTTGAGAGTTACAGACAGCTGTGAGCTGCCATGTGGCTGCTGGGAATTGAACCTGGGTCCTCTGGAATGGCTGTCAGTGCTCTTATCTGCTGAGCCATCTCTCCAGCCACCCCACAGCATTGCTGGGGACAGGACTTCTCAGTGGGAGATGGAGCTTAGCATTTCAGCTAGACTGCCTAGCCAGGCAGTCCCCGTATCTGCCTGTCTCTGCCCTCCAGAACCGGAGTTGCAGATGCCCAGCTTTTATATGGGTTCTCAGGAAATGAACCTGTTCCTCATGCTTACACAGCAATTGCATTACCCACTGAGCCGTCTCCCCAGCTCCTGAACCCCAGTTTTGATAAGAATAACAATGAAGTTGAACAATCACATCAATAAACACAGGTGGTGTATTTCTATTTAACAAAAGCAGGAGCTATGTGACAGTATGGGCTCCAGGGCTTCTGTCCCAGGCTGGGGATGCAGGGCATAGATGGTTAGTTAGAAACAGCAGGGCTCTTTCCAAAGCTCCATGTAAGGGAACCTGAGGTCACTGTCCTTCCCCCACACTGCAGAGTAAAGTGACCGTTGTTTTCCTCTGGGTGGACAGGGCACCTGCCTCGGGACAGGCTGATAGATCTTGCACTTTCATTCTTCTTGTCAGGGAAAGTTCCCCAAGGGTGACAGAGCTGAAGATGGTTTTCATGGACTGTCACCAGTGAGCGCTTTCCCCCCTCAGAACAACTATGGTGAGACCTCCTATTGTACAGTGTCTGACAAGGTGGCGAGGAAAATCTCCCCCAGCCTCCCCCGGGCATCTGGTGGGTGGAGAGAGTCCCCTACTCCTCATCTAATGACCTACTGCTACACTGAAGGACTATACGACCTCATGGGCAATGTGTGGGAATGGACTGCGTCCACATACCAGTCTGCTGGCCAGGAGATGCGTGTCCTCCGGGGGGCGTCATGGATCGACACCGCTGATGGCTCAGCCAATCACCTGGCTCGGGTCACCACCAGGTAAGAATCTTAGGTCAGGGCACCACAAGTCTCTGTAGCCATGGCTGAGGGTATGGATGCTGGGCTCCTGGGTCCAAGTGGCCCGGAGCTGGCACTGATGCGGCTTCTGCACCCCATCCCAGCTCTTCAATCCCTTCCTCACCCACCTCTTTCAGTATTGCAGGTCACACCCCTCACCCCTTCTTGCACCTCCTGCCTCCACTGAAAGTTCTAAGAGAAACAAGCCAGTACTGCTGACCATGGGAAGTAAACATGGGTCCCCAAGACAGCCTGGGGACCCCCTTCCTGAGACTCAGCAGCAGTAAGGGAACCTTCCGGCAACCTCACACTATGGGGCCTCTTCTCACATGGAGCAGGGCAGAGGAAGGAGACGGAATTGCACATGAGTAGGTCACAGCCGGGAGGCATGAGTTAACACACTCATTGAGCTGCTGCAGGCACAAAAAGTCACTGCTTAGTCTTTTGTCAGGGAGGTGTTGTTGGGACTGCTCATCTCATATGGTGCTGTCATTGGTGGCTCCCCCAGCACTGAATTCCAGCCTTCAGGACTTCTGCTTTACTCACAGTAGGTTTGGTTTGTTTGGCCTTGGACAAGATTCCTCAGGCTTTGTAGTTTCAGGGTTTGGAAGATGGTGAGGCCCTGCCTGCCAGAGCCAACTAACTGCGTGTATCAGTCAGGAATTCTAGAGTAACAAAACTTATGGAATGAATCTCTATCTATCTATCTATCTATCTATCTATCTATCTATCTATCTATCGCTATATAAAGGGAATTTTTTAGAATGACTTACACACTGTGGTCCGGCTAATCCAATAATGGCCACCTGCACAGAAGGTCTAAGAATCCAGTAATTAACTGTCCAGTCCATGAGACTGAATGTTGCAGCTGGTCTTCAGTACACACTGGAATCCCAAAGAAGTCGGCTCTCATGCCAGTGAGGGAATGGACTTGCTAGCAAAAGTAAGAGCAAGCAGGCAGGGAACAAAAGCTTCCTTCTTCCATGACCTTATATAGGCTTCCAGCAGAAGGTGTGGCTCGGAATAGAGGTGGGTCTTCCCACCTTAAAGATTCAGATGAGAAGTGGATCTTTCCACTTCAAATTAAGCAAAAATCCCTCACAGCTGTGCCCCTCCATTTCTGAGTTTTAGTTAATTCCAGACGGAGTCAAACTGACAACCAAGAATAGCCATTACCTGCTGTGAAACTCATTTCTCACCTACAAGTGCATTGAGCTTAGAATGGGAGCTACTTACCCATCAGTGGTCATTAAGATTCATTAAGATCATCTTCCAGCCGGGCGGAGGTGGCGCACGCCTTTAATCCCAGCACTCGGGAGGCAGAGGCAGGTGGATCTCTGTGAATTCGAGGCTAGCCTGGTCTACAAGAGCGAGTTCCAGGACAGGCTCCAAAACCACAGAGAAACCCTGTCTCGAAAAACAAACAAACAAAAAAGATCATCTTCCGTTGCAATCCTTTGTGGCCGCTCAGCTCCCTTACCCGTCATAGCACACTGGCTGGACTTGTCTTCAGAACAACTGCGTTAGTTACTATTTGGCTGCTGTGCAGAGACACCATGACCAAGACAACTCTTGTGAATAGAAGCGTTTAATTGAAGGCTTGGTTACAGTTTTAGAGTCTTAGTCCATGATCATCGTGGCCAGAAGCAAACAAGCATGGCACTGGAGCATTAGCTGAGAGCTTGACATCCTGATCCGCAGGCAGAGGGAGGAGAGATACTGGGCCTGTTGTGGACTTGTGAAACCTCAAAGCCACCTGCTAGTGACACACTTCCTCCAAGGAGGCTACACCTACTCCAATCCTCCTTAGATAGTTCCACTCCCTGGGGACGAGGCGTTCAAATAGATGAGCCTATGGGGGCCACCACACGGGCTCTCTTCCCAGCAGACCCCACCCCCAACAGTATGCACTCTCTCCCTGTTCTGCCACAGGATGGGCAACACTCCAGATTCCGCCTCAGACAACCTGGGCTTCCGCTGCGCCTCCAGCACAGGCCGACGGAAGGAGGATCTGTAAGCACCCAGGCAGGGATGGAGAAAGCCGCCCTCAGTACTGAATTTCCCTGCTCATGTTCCAGAGGCATCGGCTACCATGTTCCTTGTCAGCCTGCAGGTGGCCTCCCTCCGAGCCCTTTCTCTGGCAGATGCCTCCTAAGGGCAAAAGAACACTCAACCCCAAGAGGGGACTACCATAGCCTGCAAGAGGAGGGCCCGGATGATCATGGCTGGGAGCTGGGTGTTTCTCTGAAGTGCAGGATTACGGACAAAGGACCCCAGCGCTCTGGTATCTGGAGCAGTTCTCCAAAAGACAGCAGTCTGAAAATGGCTCCCTCTCAGGCAGGCCATGGTGGCACACACCTTTAATCCAAGCACTGGGAAAGCAGAGGCAGGCAGGTCTCTGTGAGTTCATGACCAGCCTGGTCTACAGAGTGAGTTCCAGGACAGCATAAAAAAAAAAAATTCGAGAGAAAAAAAAACTCTTCCTTTTCTTTCTTCCTCTCCGGTTCAGTTTTTAGTTCTCCTGGAAAAGTCTGTAGAAGGAAAATGCTTTCTTTATGTGATGGTGCCCAAAGCCTCCCTGTCTGTTGTTTGCAACAGGGTACTCACCATGTGGCAAGGCTGGTCTCCAACTCTCAGTCCTCTGACCTCAGCTTCCTGAGTGCTGCAGTTATACACAGGGCCCAGTATTAAAACACTGTAGTAGAGCAAATAATTTACCAGGTGAAGCTGTGCATTGTGGGAGTAACAAGTTTCAAGCTCTCCTAGGAGGGCAAATGCCATAAGCTTCTCCTCTGGGTGTTAATATTATAGGGGCTTCCATGTACCTCTGCAAACATGCAAACAGTCTCTGGAGAAGCACTGGTTCCCATGGTGTCGATGGATATCATGAAGTCAATAAACTCTGCATTTGTGTATCGGAAAGGTTTGATTTTTTTGTTTGTTTGGGTGTTTGTTTGTTTGTTTGTTTTTCGAGACAGGGTTTCTCTGGAGCTTTGGAGCCTGCCCTGGAACTCACTCTGTAGACCAGGCTGGCCTTGAACTCAAAGAGATTTGCCTGGGCCTCCCGAGTTCTGGGATCAAAGGTGTGCGCCACCACTGCCCAGCAAAGTCCACTTTTTTAAATTGTTTGAGACAGGGTCTCATATAGTGCAGGCTGGCCTCAAACTCCTTGTGTAGCCAAGAATGGCCTTGAGCTCCTCCTGATCATCCTGCCTCCACTTCCTCAATTATCAGTAACCTTGGGCCCCTAAAGAAACTGAGACAGGAGCTGGAGAGATGGCTTAGCATTTAAGAGAACTTGTGCTTGCAGAAGAGGGGTTCAGTTCCTACCACCCACATGTCCCCAACTATCCGGAACTTCAGTTTCAGGGCATCTGACACCCTCTTCTGGCCTCCACAGGTACTGCAGGCAGGGGGTGCACATAATAAACAGCTGGATGAAGCACACACAAAATACATAAGTCTAAAAAGGAGAAAGAACCCAAGACCATGGTGAAGGTGCACAGTAGAGAAGCCAGGAGGCCTCTAGCTCCCAAAGCACATGTGCTCTCTGCCCTCCCACTCCTGCCTGGCACGGCCTCTGCTGCATTGGATCGATCTATCTATCAATCTATCATCTATCACCTATCTATTAATCTATCTATTAATCTATCTATCTATCTACTTTTGTCATACCAGGGGTTGAACTTGGGGCCTTACACTCACCACAGAGTTACATTCCCAGCCCAGTTTTTATTTTGAAGCAACCATCACTAGGCTGTCCTGGAACCTGGGATCCTATTGCCTCAGGACAACAGGCACAGGCCACCACACCCAGCCCTAGCTGTAATTACTGCTGTTTAATGGGAACACCCTGTGCTTTTAGTGGGGTGCACAGAGTAGGGCCACTTGCAACGACACAGAGAACTCTTTGGGGACTCCACAGTTGGGGTGTCCTACTACCCCTCAGAAGTCCTCCTCCTCTGCCAAGGAGAGGAGCACTGCCTTGGGTGTGTTCTCGAAGAGGGCGGCTCTATTCTGCTGCTGCCCTTTCTTCACCCAGTGACCGTAGATTCGGAAAGCGTAGGCGTCGATGAGCTTACGGAGAGGCTTCAGGGCGTAGGGGTCTCGGATGACGATCTCCCTGGTTATGGGCTTCAACCGACGGTACTGGTAGTAGATCCTTACCGAGGCCAGCACGGTTAGGCAGATCACCTGCAGGGGGCAGCACCGAGAACCCTCAGTCCGCAGCTGAGCTTGTCAGAATGCTCATGATGGATTTCGGGATGCTATTCATGATGCCCCCTGTTACCAGACCCCAAGTATCTACAGGGATTTAGGCTATCAGGGTCACTTAGCTGACATTCCCGGCAACCAAAAACTGAATTGGTACAGTGGGTACAAGAAGAGGACCAATTTGCCCAGTGGTGGTGGCGCACACCTTTAATCCCAGCACTTAAGAGGTAGAGGCAAGCTGATCTCTGAGTCCGAGGCCAGCCTGGTCTACAAAGTGAGTTCCAGGACAGAGTACCCCAGGAGCCAACAGCAAAATCCCCCAAGACCACTGGGCCAAGTTAAGTCTCTACCTTGAACTTTCCTCGGGGACTGAAGTGCCGCACTTCCTCCACCACGTACTGCTGGAAGAAGGGGTGCGCCAGAGCCTCCTCTGCCGAGCAGCGGTCCTGGGGTTTCACCACCAAGAAGCGAGACACCTGTGAGAACAGAAGGGCACTGAGGCTTCCAGCAGCGTTTCGGAAGACACAGGATATGATGGTCAGTCCTTACTGTCAACTTGATAGAATTTAGAGCCACCGTGAAAACAGATCTCTGGGCGTCTGTGAGGGATTATTTAAATAGGTGGAGGTGGGAAGCTGCACCCTCAGTGTGGGTGGCAACATTCCCTAGGCTGGGATCCTGGCCTGAATGAAAAGGAGAAAACGAGCTGAGAACCAGCATCCATCTCTCTCTGCTTCCTGCCTGTGGACATCACGTGACCAGTCTCCTCACACACCTGGAGCCATAAAGCATGAGCCAGAATTAACCCTTTCTTCCTTAAGTTGAAAAAAAAAAGATTTATTTATTTAGTACGCATACACCGTTCTGCGTGCATGTATGTCTGTATGCCAGAAGAGGGCACCAGCTCTCATTATAGATGGTTGTGAGCCACTGTGTGGTTGGTGTGGTTCCTGGGAATTGAACTCAAGACCTGTGGAAGAGCAGCCAGTGCTCTTAACCTCTGAGCCGCCTCTCCAGCTCCTTAAGTAGATTTTGCCAGGTTTTTTTTTTTTTTAAGCAGCAATGAGACAAATACAGAGGGGTCCCTCCTTGAGATTCCTCTACTCTGGGGTATGCTCCCTGTATTGGGGTATTTTTCTCTTGAGATCTGGGGAGCTGGTGGGTGTGGCCTCTCACCAAGTCTTTCACTGTGTCTGAGTAGTCATCCCATTCAGGTGAGCCAAACTGGTATTTGCCATCCACGATCATCCTCAACATCAGCATCTGCTTCCGGTGCCAGAAGGGTGGGGAGCCAGCCAGGAGTGTGTACATGATGACTCCAGTGCTCCACCTGGAGGTTGGCGGGGAGTCAGGTCACTCTAAGCCTCATGGGTAAGGGAGGCATGCAGGAGTGGCTGGCCGTGGTTCCGGCTAGAGTTGTGACACACCCCCCTCCCCGCATCTACCCAGGTCACTCACATGTCCACCTCCTTCCCATAGCCAGGATGGCTGTCGTCCATGGAGCACTGGATGATTTCAGGGGCCAGATAAATGGGGGTCCCGCAGACCTCTACAGAACAGTCACTTATTAGGACAGGTCGACGGGGGCCCTTGGGAGAGGTTACCCAAGGCTCGCGTATTTCACACATAGCATCATGGTACACAGACTCGTAAGGCCACCCCGTGGATTCCTCGGTCCTTCTGGGCACCCTGGCATGAAGCTCAAGCTGGGGAAACCTAGGTCCATGGAGTCCTAGGAAGAGGACTTGACTCAAGAGCCATCTAGCCTCTGAAGTAGGATATTTTTTAAGTTTATTTTTCTTATACGTTGTGTGTGTGTATCTGTATGAAGGTAGGTGCACATAGTAAAAATCCTCAGCGGTCAGAAGAGTCTGATCCCCTAGAACTGGAGTTATAGGTGACTCTGAAAGTCTTCCCTATGTGGGTGCTGGGAACTGAAACTTGGGTCTTCTACATAAGAAATGCATGTTCTTAATCCCAGCACTTGGGAGGCAGAGGCAGGCGGATCTCTGTGAGTTTGAGACCAACCTGGACTACAGACCAAGAACCAGGACAGGCTCCAAAGCCACAGAGAAACCCTGCCTCAAAAAACCAAAAAAAAAAAAAAAAAAAAAAAGAAATGCATGTTCTTTTTCTTTTTTGAAATTCATGTATTTGGATGTCTTGCCTGTATCCTATCTGTGTATCATATGGGCCTGAGGCCCAAGGAAGCGAGAAGAAGGTGTGGGATCCCTTGGAATTGGAGTTACAGACAGTTGTGATCAGCAATGTGGATGCTGGGACTCGAACCTAGGTCCTCTGAAAGAGCAGCCCATGCTCTTGACTGCTGAGTCATTTCTGGGATGTGTGTGTGTGTGTGTGTGTGTGTGTGTGTGTATGTGTGTGTGTGAGGTGAAAGCCGGAAGTCAATGTCGGGTGTCTTCCTTGATTGCTCTCTATCTTGTTTTGAGGCAGGGTCTCTCCCTGGCCTGGAGCTGGCTGATTAAGGTAGACTTACTGGCCAGAGATCCCCAGGTGTTGCTCTTAGCCGCCTGCCAGTGCTGGAGTTACAGGGGCTCTGGGGATTCAAACTCAGGTCCTCATGCTTATGTGTCCCATTTTACTCACTGAACCATCTCCTCAGCCACTGAGGGGGCAGAGTTTTATTCTGGGGAGACATTCAAGCCATTTCCATCCCTGATGCCCCTCTATGGGCCAAGGCCATGGTACCAGACCTCGGAGCCTCTCTCCTGGCTGCAGCTGGCAGGAAAACCCGAAGTCTGTGAGCTTGATGTTCATGTCATCATCTAGAAGGATGTTCTCCGGCTTCAGGTCCCGGTGGACAATGTTGAGTTTGTGCAGGGTGCAAATCACCTCCAGCAGGGCTCGCATGATCTTTCTGAGGAGACAGATACATGGCGATGGTTTATTTTTATTCTTTAGTTTCTTATTGATTTTTTTTTTGAGACAGCATTTCTCTGTGTAACTCTGGCTGTCCTGAAACTCACTCTGTAGACCAGGCTGGCCTTGAACTCAGAGTTTGCCTGCCTCTGCATCTTGAGTGCTGGGATTAAAGTCTAGCACCACTGTGCCTGAATGTTTTTTTGTCTTGTTTTTGAGACAGAGTTCTCTGTGTAGTTTTGCCTGTCCTGGAACTAGCTCTTGTAGACCACCAGGCTGGCCTCAAACTCACAGAGATCTGTCTGCCTCCCAAGTGCTGGGATTAAGGCATGTGCCACCACCGCCCAGCTCTGGCTGTCCTCTAACCTACAGGTAGCTGTGGATGATCTTGAATGCTTGAACTTCCTGCTTCCATCTACCAGGTGCTAGGATTAGAGGTTATGTGTCACCACGGCCAGTTTATGCTTCCTGCACGCTAGGTAAACACTCTGGTAGCTGAACTATGGCCTAACTCTGTTTTACTTTTTGAAGCGAGGTGTCACCTGCACCTCATGTAGGCCTTGAACTCGTGATCCTCCTGCCTGAGCCTCCATATTATTGAGATTACAGATATTCATCACCAGTTTTAATTTTTTGTTTTGTATTTTACCCCAAGTACCAGGGATGGGAATCAGGGCTTTAAACATGCTAGGTAAACACTATTCTAATGAGACACACATTCAGCCCATTGGCTTTTGTTCTTTCTGTTATTTGTTTCCAGACAGGGTTTCTGTGTCCTTGGCTTCCTGGTACTTGTTCTGTAGACCAGGCAGGCTAGCCTAAAACTCAGAGATCTGCCTGCCTCTGCCTCACAAGTGCTGGAATTAAAGGCGTGCACCACCACCAGCTGGCTTTTTTTTTTTCAAGACAGGGTTTCTGTGTGTAACAGCCCTAATTGTCCTGGAACTAACTCTTGTATACCAGGCTAGCCTTGAACTCACAGAGATCCACCTGCCTCTGTCTCCTAAAAGCTGGGACTAAAGATGGGCACCACCACTGGCCAGCGGTCTATTTTTTTTAATGTGAGTGTGTATGTATTATTTAATGTGTGTGTGTATGACTGAGTGTACATATATGCACCACATTCATAGAGTGCCCAGGATAGTCAGAAGACATCAGATCCTTTAGAACTAGAATCACAGACATCTGAGCCACTGGTATGGGGTACTGGGAACCAAACCTAGGTCCTCTGAGAGAATAGCAAGTGTGCCAAGAGTGCTGGTGCAAGTGTTTAATGTCAACACTCTGCAGGCAGAGAGGAGGCAGATCTCTGTGAGTTCAAGACCACCCTGGTCTTCATATCAAGTTCCAGGTCAGACAGAGCTATATAGTGAGTCCCTGTCTCAAGAAACAAAAGCAAGAGTAGCAAGTGCTCTTCACTGCTAAGCTATCTCTCCAGACACATTGGCTTAATTTTTGATTCTAGAATTGGACAAACCTTTTCCACACAACAGAAGTGCGTGTTCCCCTACACATTACTCTCCACTCATCAGGGATAAGAGGCGGGGAGGCCAAAGCCCACAGACCAACCTCACTGCGTGCAATGGGGGATCCAGGATGGGCTGGGACAGTCTAAGTTCTAGACTGTAGATGAGCCAAAGAGCTGGGCGATCACAAAAGCCAGCATGACCTCAGCTAAACATGCGCACCAGGCCTCCTGCCAGACCACTGACGGAGAACGGGTAGAGATGGCACACGTCCTTACCTGGTTTCCTTCTCAGTCAAGGTGACCTTCTCAGTGAGGTAGTCAAAGAGCTCCCCTCTCTTCATCCTGTGGGAACAAAGTGTTCCTTACCTGCCCCCAGAGCTGTGTTCCCACCCTGATGCCATCAAAGACAAGGTGGGCTGTTCCTCTGAGGGCAGGAGCCCCAGGGAGGGAGTGGAGGGCTCTCTGGGAAGAACTGAAAGACAAGCAAAAGGCTGAGAAAACGCAACATCCTTGCTTATGGAAATGCATGGCACCTGGGAACTCGTCGGTACCGGGAGTGGGAGACAGGCATCAGAGTCTCTGGCTCAGGACCCCAGACCAAGAGGACTGGAAGCAAATGGAAAGAAATCAACAGTGTAAGTGTTGGAGAAGCCAAGTTTGCCCATTATATGCAAATAGCCAGCTGTGGCAGCATAAACCTGTAACCCTAGTAGTTGGTAAATGGCAGAAGGAGAATCAGGAGTTCAAGACCAGCCTCAGCTACATAGTGACTTGGGCTACATGGAACTCTCTCTCAAAAAACAGAAACTGGGAGGGTGGGTTGGAGAGATGACTCAGAAGTTAAGAGCACTGACTGTTCTTCCGGAGGAGCTGGGTTTGGTTCCCAGTACCCATGTCAAGCTGCTCACAATTGTCTGTTATATAGACAATTATATAGACTGTTATTCTATAACTCTATAATATAATATTACTCTAGCTCCAGGGGATTCAGAACAGCCTCCGGCCTGCACAGGCACATGCACTCGCTTGCACACACCCACACGTAGATACACACACACACCCTCACCTAATTAAAGATAATATATACAAATGGTTTAAGCCAGATGGTGGTGGCACATGCCTTAATCTCAGCACTTGGGAGGCAGAGGCAGGCGAATCTCAGTGAGTTTGAAGTCAGCCTGGTCTACAAAGTGAATTCCAGGACAGTTAAGACTGTTATACAGAGAAACCCTGTCTTGAAAAACCAAATAGATAAATAATGGTTTAAATAATGGAGGGACAGGCCAGTCTTGGTGGCGAAGGCCTTTAACCCCAGCCCTTGAAAATTCCCTATTGGCTTACCTACAGCTAGACCTCATGGAGGTATTTTCTCAACTGAGGCTCTGTCCTCTCCAGGGACTGTAGCTTGTGTCAAGTTGACATAAAACTACCCAGCACAGGGTATCCTCTCTGTACGTCACGCTAATGTAAGGAAAGGATTTGCTTGAGACAACTGAGAGCCTTGTAGTGTTGAAACATTTCCTATTGTAGCTGCTGAATCCTTCAATATTTTCTGTTTCCTCTCTTCTCTCACTATTTATATAAGAAAAATTTGAGACAGGGACCCACACTGTTGCCCAGGCTAACCTCAAAGCCATACCAGTAATCCTCCTGCTTCATCCTCCTGCGTGCTTGGATTACAGGACTGTGTCGCTGAGCCCAGTTTTATCTTCTATTTAACCACAGGATGGGCTGCTAGGCCCCCTCTCCTGCCCTGCTGTAACCATCCCTGCTGTATTCACAGGGCCCTGTCCTGAGTAACCTCTGGGGGCAGCTCAAATATCTTTAACCTTTAGAGAGGTGGCTTGGAGAAGCTATTTTTACTGGTGTCCCAAGGAGCCCTACAGGGTGAAACCAGATTGCTCTAGCAGTGACCACATTCTAGGTCAGAAAGCTAAAGACTGAACTGAATATTTTTTTGGTTTTTGTTTCCTGAGATGAGGTGTGGCTAATGTCGCACAAGCTGGAGTCAAACTTTCCATCCTTTGGTCTCAGCCTCCTAAGAGCTGGTATTGCAGATATGTACCACCAAGCCCAGCTTTGAAAAGCAAGCCGCTCCTCTCCTCCCTTCTCCTCTTCCACCCTCTTCTCCCTCCCCTCCCACCCACTCCCTTCTTTCGTTTGTTTGTTTTTGAGACAGGGTCTTGGTATAGACTCTGAATGGCCGACTCACTATGTAGATCAGACAGGCCCCAAACTCACCGAGATTCACCGTCTTTTGCCTTCCAAGTGCTGGGATTAAAGGCATGTACCACCATGCCCAGAGGAAATTTTTTATTTCCTCCCTCCCTCCCTTCCTTCATCATCACAATTATTATTATTACTATTTGGCATTTTTCGATACAGATTTTTTTTCTCTGTGTCTTGAAACTCACTCTGTAGTCCAGCTGGCCTCAAACTCAGAGATTTGCCTGTCTCTGCCTCCCAAAGGCATATATCACCACCTGGCAATTATTTTTTCAAATAGAAACTGATGGTAAGTCTCCAGTGCACGGTTCTCATGCACTTTGTGTGGTTATCATTGTTCCCTTTTGTTTTTTGAGACAGGGTCTTGTGCAGGGTGGTCCGATACTCAGCATGTATCCCCGGAATGGCCATGAACTTGAAGTAATTCCCCTGTCTCAGTTTCTGAGAGCTGAGATTACAAGCATGTGCCACTAGCCTGGCAGTGGTGGTGCATATTTTTAATCCCAGCACTTGGGAGGCAGAGGCAGTCGGATCTCTGTGAGTTTGAGGCCAGCCTGGTCGATGGAAATAGTTCCAGTACATCCAGGGCTATACAGAGAAATCCTGTCTCAGAAAACCAAATAAAACAAAAACAAACAAAAAAACCAAGCGTGTGCCAGTATGTCAGGTTTTGTGTTGTTTATATTTGATGCTTAGTGTTAAAGACCTCCTCTCTCATCCTGTTGGTGCAAACACAGAGTCTTTGAACAACTGGTCTTTGAACAACACCCTAAACGTCATCTTAACCACGGGCTTCTCTCTCATATTCCCTTTTCCACCACCCAGCTGCTCTTTCTGCTCTTTCCTCCCTTAACTCATCCCCAGAGACCAACTAGTACCAGGAGTGGAGGTCACACCTGTAATTTCAGCACTCTAGGGGTTGAAACAGGAGGATCATAAGTTCAAGTTCAGTCTGGGCTAAGTATGGCCTTCATAAAGAGGTATTGCCTCCAACAGAAAAAAAAAAAAAAAAAGAAGAAGAAGAAGAAGAAGAAGAAAGGCCTGAGCAGTGGTGGTGCACTCCTTTGATCCCTGGGAGGCAGAAGATCTCTGTGGATTTGAGGCCAGCCTGATCTAGAGAGTTCCAAGACAGCCAGAGCTACACAGAGAAAACCTGTCTCGAAATACCCAAAGACAAACAAAACAAAAAAACGTATAATCAAATTGAAGCCAGGCATGGTGGCAATGCCTTTTACCACAGCATTTACCTGGGAGTCAGGTGCAGGAGGATCTCTGTGAATTCAAGGCTAACTTGGTCTACAGAGTGTCCAGAGCTACCCAAAAGGACCCTGTCTAAAAGAAATTTTTTAATTAAGAAAATATATAACCCATCTGTAAGTGGTACTCTAGGTTTCAAATCCTGTCGATTTTGCCTGGTGTTTCATTATGGGGGTTGGGGGTTGTTGCTGGCCCCCTGACAGCCTGGTGGGGACCCATGGAGAGCTCCAGGGTTGGGTACTTACAGATCAAATACCAAGAAGAAGAAAGTGTTGGTCTCGTAAGTGTCCTTCAGCTGTACTGAAATGGAAAAGGCTAGCTGGTCTCAAGGAGCAGAGGAGCCTTGGCATGGACCATGGGGCACAGAGACCAGGCAGGCTGGCTCCAGAGGCAGGAGGAGGGCAATCACTGAGGTGTACCCCTTCCTCCTCTGCACCCACTCCCAACCCTGTCTGTCCCCACCCTGTCTGAGTAGGAAGGTGGCACCTGTGACCTCGAGCCCCAACAACGGGCTGGCAGAGTCACTGAACACAAGTTGAAGATGGACGAGTATGGCTGATCACAAGATGGCTCTCATGCCCTGACTTGGGTGGGTGATTAGGGCAGAAGCACCAAAAAGCACACGGCTATGGCTTGTGCTAGGGATGGTGGGGCAGGAAGGAGCCACTCACTGATGTTGGGGTGTCCAGAGACCTTCTGCAGGATGTCCACCTCCTTCAGTGTGGCTTCCCGAAGCTCCTGTATCTCCTTGGAGCTGAAGCTGCCTCCGCCTGTGATGTCGATGATTTTGACTGCATATTCCTGGCAGGTGGGTTTGTGGATACAGCGCCTGACCACACTGCTGACTCCCCTGTGAACAGAGAATGGATGGCCTTGGTACCCCACACTCCAGGGGAGCTCCTTACTAAAGGCAGTACAGGGACTAGAGGAAGGTCTGTAATTAAGAGCACTTGCTGCTCTTTCAGAGGACCTGGGTACAGTTCCCACATAGCTACAAACAACCGTCTATAACTCCAAGGGATCTGACACCCACTTCTGAACCTCTAAGGACACCAGACATGCACAGAGTACACAAACATACTGGCGAAACACTCATATTCAGAAAATAAAATGAAAATCAATCAGTCAGTCAGAGGCACAGAGGTTCTGCCCTGTGTTGTATCACATACTTCTCACCCTAAGCAGAGGAACAAAGGGGACAGAAATGGGGCCAGGGCTGAGGGTGGCGCCAATCTTTCCCATCATAGGTAAAGCTGAGGTCAGGATTTCCGCACAGGGTCTGGGTCTTACCTGCCCAAAATCTCCTTGGGCTCATAGTTCTCATAGAAGGTCTGTGCAGAATGGGAGTCAGGGAGAGCCTCATCCCGGGTCATGCTCAGGTCAGGTAGGTCTCAGGGGGACCTCAAGGGCCTCTGGAAGGGGTGCAGAAAGAAGCGGTCAACTCCCCACTCCTCCCACTTTTTCTTTCTTTCCTTTCTCTTTTATTCATTATTTATTTATTTATTTATTTATTTGAGGCATGGTTTCTCTGTGTAGTGCTGGCTGTCCTGGAATTCACTTTGTAGACCAAACTGGTCTTGAACTCAGATATTCGCCTGCGTAATTCCCAAGTGCTGAGATTAAAAGCATGGACCAGTCAGGACTCTTTTCTTCTTTGTTTTTGTTTTTATTTATTTTTATTTTTTTAAAGATTTATTTATTATATATACTGTATTCTGCACCAGATCTCATTACAGATGGTTGTGAGCCACCATGTGGTTGCTGGGAATTGAACTCAGGACCTTCGGGAGAATAGGCAGTGCTCCTAACCTCTGAGCCATCTCTCCAGCCCCCTTGTTTTTATTTTTCAAGACAGGATTTCTGTGTAACTGTCCTAGCTGTCCTGGAACTAGCTCTTGACCACCGGGCTGGCCTCAAATTTACAGAGATCTATCCAATCTGCCTCCCGAGTACTGGGATTAAGGGAGTGCACCACCACTGCCTGGCTCTTTCTTTCTTTCCTTCCTTTTTTTTCCTTTATTCCTTTCTCTTTCTCTCTCTTTTTCTTTCTTTCAACTTATTTAGTATGTATACCATGTTCTATATGCATGTGTTCCTGCAGGCCAGAAGAGGGCACCAGATCTCCTTAGAGGTGGTTGTGAACTACCATGTGGTTGCTGGGAATTGAACTCAGGACCTCTGGAAGAACAGTCAGGCTCTTAACTGCTGAACCACCTCTCCAGCCCCCTTTTTCTTTTTTAAGATTTTTTTAAAAAGCATATAGTGGTCCATGCCCTTAATCCTTTTTTTATTGATACAAAGTCTCATATAGCCCTGGCTGACCTAGAACTTGCTATGTAGACCAGGCTGGCCACTGGCCTGTTTCTTTGTTTGGTTGGGTTTCACTCTATATGCCAGACTGGCCTCAAACTCACAAAGATCCGCCTGCCTCTGGAGTGCTGGGATTAAAGTTGTGCACCATCATTTCCTGGCTTATTTTTATTTTTAGGTGCTGGGGGATAGAACCCAGAGCATTGCACATGCCAGGCAAGCGCTCAAACACTGAGCTACACGCTCAGCCCAGAGTCAGGGTGGTCAGGCTTGGATGTGGAGAAGCTAAGCTGACCCATCTTGTCCCAGAAACACAGATGTTCCTACCAGGAAACTGAACTCCTGCTCCAGACCAAGGGTTTGAGAAAGGCAGAATATCACCCAGCAATAGGAAGAGGCAAGCAGGCAACAGCATATGCTTCCAGTCCACTTGTGGGAGCCCCTGAAAGCCTGGTGTCCCAAGGGGCCCAATTTGCTGACCAGACACGCAGCAGTCCTGGCTGCCTCAAGTTGGCTGTTGCTGGAAGCCTGGTGTCCCAGATACTGGGTGCCTGGTTACCAAGAGAAGGTTTAGAATAACAACTGTCTTCTTTGCCAATAACAGGAACCTGGCCTGTTGCACATAACAGCCAGCAGAACCTGAAGATGTTAGTTTCCCTCAACAACCAGCCTGTTTGCTGAAAGGTCATTCTAAAACTCCAAGACGGGCATTTGTGATCCTCATTTATTATGACAGTTACACCACATCCCTTGCAGAAGCATAGAGCAGTTCTGGGCCCACACCGGACCAAGATGCCATCCTAAGCCAGGCTGGCTACACTCACATTTTCTGATAATGTATGTGTCCATCTCCCTGTTCCTAGGGCTTGACTGGAGCCGACAATGGTTCTCTATTTACTGCTTCATTAGCCCTTTACACTTGTTCTTAGTATCACTGTAGAGGGGAGCATTCTAAAGAAAAGTAGGTGGTCCCAAGTTTTGAAACCTACTATCCCTCCCAGAAAGCTAGTCAACGGGCAGAACCAGCCTTGTGCCCGGCAGGTGTTCTGAGAACCCGTGGTCTCCCAGGTCTGAAGAGAAATGGGTCAAACAGATTTGAGGCTTTACGTCCTTGCCTCAAAACCCCACCGCTCCCCGACTGCTGTTACTCACCGTTATGCCCTGTAGGCTCTTAAATGAAGATAACAAGAATTCCAAGGTCCTGGAGCCCTTCAGAGGGAGACTGGGGATCGTGAAGGACTGAAGCGGCGGCGTGAGCAGCCACTTACGCTTGGAGTTGCTATCTTTTTCTACTTCTGCGGCTTGGTACTTGGTGATGGAAGGCTGGCCTGCCAAAAATAAACCACAACTGCAAACCCGGGATGCAGGCCAAGGACCAGGAGGGAGAGGACTGGGGCAAAACAGCATCAGGGCTACCACCTGGTGGAGGCTAGGGGAAGCTCGGGTGGCTTGGGATCAGCAAAGCCTTTCATTTTAATTATGTGTATTTGCGCACATGGATGATGTGCCCAGAGAGGGCAGAGGTGCTGGATTTCCCTGGGGCTGGAGTTATAGATTGTTGTAGCTACCTGATGTGGGTGCTGGAAATCAAATTCTGGAGAAGCAGCGTACGACCTTACTGGATGAACCAGTTCTCCTGCTGCTTTTTGTTATTTTTAAGATTTATGTATGGTGCCAGGTGGTGGTGGTGCACACCTTTAATCCCAGCCAGCACTCGGGAGGCAGAGGCAGGAGGATCTCTTGAGTTCGAGGACAGTCTGGCCTACAAAGCGAGTTCCAGGACAGTCAGAGCTACATAGAGAAATACTGTCTGGAAAAACAAACCAACAAATTATGTGTATGGATCTTTGGCTGGCGGTGTGTACCACAGGAATGTCTTACACCCTCAGAGGTCAGAAAAGGGCATTGGATCCCCTGGACCTGGAGTTATAGACTCTTGTGAGTCAGTATGAGTCTGGGAAACTGAACGCTGGTCCTCTGAAAGAGCAGCAAGTGTTCAACATGATCCATCCATCTCTAGGGCCTGGAAACACCAACTCTGAAAGGAGCACACTGTTGTTTTTAAAGTCTTGCTACACAGCCCCGACTACCCTTAATCTGCACGCCTGCCTCTGCCTTCCTGTGTTGGGATTACCAGTAGACACCACCACGCATGGCAATGACCTTTTACTTCTCTTCGGATTGAGTGCTACTTTTGACTCAGCCACGTGTGAGACAGACTGGCTCAAACTTGTTCCAGTCTTCTTGCCTGCTTCCTAAGTACTGGGATTACATGGACCACCATGCCCAGTCTGGTTTAAACCTGGAGCATTCCCTGAAGAATAAGGCTAGAGCTTGGAGCAGCACTGGGATGAGCTTTCCCAAGGAGCTTTAATACCAAGCATAAAGGGTGTGTAGCCTAATTTTGCAAGTAGAAATATCCAAACAGAGAAAATACTTGTACAGAGGATGGCAGCACAGGCCTCTAATCCCAGCACTTGGGAGGTCGATGCAGGATAGTCAGGCCGATTTGGACTACATAGGGCTTTCCCTATCTCAAAGGGAAACAAAACAAAAAGGCTTCAATGTGTGTGTGGGTGGAGTGTGCGCCTTTATTTCCAGCACTCGGGAGGCAGAGACAGGCAGATCTTTTGGGTTCAAGGTCTACAGCCTGGTCTATAGAGCTAGTTCCAGGACAGCCAGGGCTGTTACAGAGAAATCCTGACTAGGAAAAAAAAGGGGGGGGAGGGGGTTCCTTAGTGCAGTGACACACACAGGAGGCCCGCCCTGTAGTATGTCTTGCTTAGCACTTACCCACTTGACCTGTTGACATGGCTGAAGACAGGCCCCAGGGCCCGGTGAATGCTAGGAAAGCATGCTGTCACCAAATGTCACACACAGTCCCTAACATTAGTGCGTGCTAAAGGTTAACAAAAATGTACCCTTCCATTAAAAGGTTAAGTAAGACTTCACACAGACAGAACTTTAGTCCCAGTACTCAAAGAGGAAGAGGAAGGCAGATCTGTGAGTTAAGACAGTCAAGGCCCCCATTACATACCTTTGCCTTGAAAAAAAAAAGGACCCCACATGAAAACATGGGGGGGGGGGACGCTAAAGACAGGGTTTAGTGGTTAGGAGCACCACCTCCTTTCGAGCACTCAGGACATTTCAACTGTATGCACTCCAGTTCCAGGAAGAACTAGTTTTCTGGCCTCTAAGGATACTACACACAAGGCACACTTATATACATCCAAAGAAACATTCATACACAAACAAAAAACTTGCAAATGAGCCATTTGGCAGGGAAAAAAAAAAACCTTGAGGATCAGTACCTTTTGAAATGAAGAAAAAAATTACCTCAATGTTGTTCCCTTCTCTCAAAAGTTGTATGCTGTGCCAACTGCTTAAGAGTGTGAAGCTGGGGACTGGGGAGTTGGTTCAGTGGTTAAGAGCACTGGCTGCTCTTCCAGAGGTCCTGAGTTCAAGTCCCAGCAACCACATGGTTGTTCACAACCATCTGTAATGAGATCTGGTGCCCTCTTCTGGCCTGCATGTCTACCTGCAGGCAGAACACTGTATACATAATAAATAAATTTTAAAAAATAAATTAATTAAAAAAAAGTGTGAAGCTGGGCAGTGGTGGCGCACGCCTTTAATCCTGCACTCAGGAGGCAGAGGCAGGAGGATCTCTGTGAATTCGAGGCCAGCCTGGGCTACAGAGTGAGTTCCAGGACAGTCTCCACAGCTGCAGAGAACCCGTCTCTAACCACCCCACCCTAAGCAGTGTAAGGCCATGCTCTGACCAGTGAGGCACAGTATGTTTTTGCCATAGTAATAAAAAAAGGGATCCTCGGTGGGTGTGCGTGCCTGGAGGATTTCACATTGCTATGCACCAAATACAAGTTTATGGGATCCTGGAACAGCTAAAACCATAAATGAGCAGCATGATTGACAATGAGCTTTATGAAGTAGCAGCTGAATTAATTTTATGCTAGGGGGTCTCGATAACATGAGGAAGTGTACTGAAGGGTCCAGCATTAGGAGAGTTGAGAACCACTAGATTAGACGAATCAAAAGACGTGCTGATATAGCTGTGTCCTTGTATTATGTTGAGCAAGCACACAAAACCCATGACCCCACAATAAGAACTACCACACCTCAGAATAAAAGTTTTATTTTCGTTAACTCACAAAAAACCAATACAGTTGGTTCAAGGAGGCCAACACTTGCCCAATCCCCACCACTATGAGCCTCAGGGAATAATATCTATACAGTTAGAACTCCTAATGGAGCTGTTAGGAATAAGTTTGCTCAGGGTCCACACATGCACTATTATGTAGGGCCCACTTCAATTTCTTCAGTTTAAACTTCTTGATTAAATTAAACCTGTTAAAAGAAAAGGTTAAGTCAGACGACAACCAACAATGCCCAGATACACTGTTTACTTTTCCAAGACAATTAAGCTTTCCTTCAATCAAACTTGAATTCCATCCTTACCACGATGGAGACTGGTGTATGTGTTTTTAGAAAAAAGGCCTGAAGCAGAAATTTAGCTAAAGAGTTCTAATCATCTCAGCACTCAAACAGGCAGAGGCAGGTGGATCTCTCTGTGAGTTTGAGGCCAGACTGGTCTACAAGGGCTAGTTCCAGGAGAGGCTCCAAAGCTACAGAGAAACCTTGTCTCAAAAAAAAAAAAAAAAAAAAAAAAAGTTCTAATTTTGGATAAGCATCACCTCTCTCCCCCATTGTCTGGGAAAACGAAACCAAGCACTGTAGTAAGTCAGTGAACTGCTGAAATTACAAGGGAAACCACAGAACCACTGTGGCTGCCAACCCTCCAGTTATTCCAGTCAGGAGCTCTAGTTGGAGTCTTCACTCCACAACTATCAACCTCTGGGCAGATGACAGGTCACCTACCATTTGCAATTCTGCACTGCCGCAGCACTTCGTTGAAGCCCTCGCAGAGCTTGACGTCACTCTGGTTCTGGGCACACTCCAGGAACTGTTTGATTTCAAGAGAGCAAGGTCCAAAAGACTGCTGGTTCATCACCTGGGCTCCCTGAGGCTCCTGCCAAGACACAACGTTAGGTATGAGAAGTTTGCTTGGTACACACAAGGCTCTGGACTTGATCCTAACACTGTAAACACAAAAAAGAAAAACTAGACCAAACCAAACCAGAGCCAGGAGGTGGTGGTGTACAACTTTAATCCCAGCACTCAGAGACAGGTGGATCTCTGAGTTCTAGACCAACCTGTCCTACAGAACTAGTTACAGGACACCAAAGGTTACACACACACAAACAAGTTCTTTTAGCGACTGCACTACGATTCGAGAGTCGGGCAAGGGATTAGAGGTTCAAATACACACACACACACACACACACACACACACATACACACACACACACACAGACTCAGGTCATCCTTGAAATAAGAATGCCCCCTTTATTGTGCTCAGGGGCAGCTCTCGGGACCTTTCAGCTGCCAGCCCACTAGAAACCACGCCCCTGCCGTCAGGCTTGTGCTCAAAGCAGCTGCAAGCATAGGAAAGACAAGCTATTTACTAGGGCATAGAAAATTCAGGGTCTGGGGTCCACAGTCCCCAACAAGTCTTATCAAAACAAATAACAAACCTGGCTAGGAACTCAATAGCATGTATGCTTTGCCCAGGGACTGAACCCCAGCACCACACATACAAAAAAGAAAGGCCATTCTTAAAGAAAAATAGGATCATTACTGGAAAGACGTGGACAAGAACTTCAAGTGTGCCAGATTTCAAGAGATTACATGCTTCTTAGTACACACAAAATCCACAGATCAACAAGAGGGCAAAAACTATCAGGTCAGGGGTCACAGGCCGTGACCAGGACTTGTGATTATGTAACCGAGACTGAACTGAAAGGCCAGGCCTCATGGCTGTAACTCCAATGCTTGAGAAGCCAACCAAGTAGACAGCTACAAGCTTGGAGCCAGCGTCGGTCACACACTGAAGACTCTGTCTCCAAGTGAAGCATAGGAATCCAGTGTAGCCAAGATAAACTCTTACTGGTGCTCACCTAAGGGTCTAATTCAAACCACACAATGTGTGTGTGATGCTCGCACACGAGTGTGTGGATGGGTGTGCCCACAGGAGCCCAACATTCTCCATCCTACTGCCCTGAGACAGAGCTCTCACTGAAACCCGTCACTTCATCTCAACCGCCAGCTGCCAAGCTGTGGATCTGCTCATCTCCCTCCACAATGCAGGAGATGCAGGTATGCATGGCTATGCCGGACTCTGTGGGTTCACGGGCTTTGAACTCAGGTCCGCACGGCTTCAGAGTAAGTGCTCACTCACTGAACCATACCCCAGCAAACCCCTACTTTAAAGGGGGTGGGGAAGCACCACTTTGTACTGCACTCCTAAAATTAAACACAGGGCACTACGTAAAAGATGTTTACCAGCTGCCAAGTTCTCTCACAAGACACAAGCACACAGAGGAAAAGCGGCCCCAGATCCTACCTGGTAAGTGATGTCAGGCCTCGCAGGCTCAGCACTGCCACCTCCACTGAAGGCCCCAGTGACGGCATGACCCAGGGTGTGGCCCACTGCAGAGCCCACAGCCACACCTGCTGCAGTGGTCGCCATCTGGGCCATCAGGCCTGGCTGCCGGGGTGCAGCAGCAGGTGAGCCAACTGCAGATGGTGCAGTCGCTGTTGCTGGAGGATGAGCTGCAGGCGCTTGTCTGGGAGCAGGTCTCATCTGAGGGGCCCGGCTAGGAAAGAAAAGAACCAAACTCATCAGTTCCCGGTTCCAAATGGCTCTGGAAGTTACTGAAGAAGTGAACCAAGCCAGGTTCTGAGGCACACACCTGTAATGCCAGCACCGGGATGGAAGAGACAGAAGACTCAAAAGGCCAAGGTCATTCTACACAGTCATTTCTTCTTCTTCTACATTATTGTTTTTCAGAGTATAAAAATTGCAACATTGGGGAGGGGGAGGGAAATGGGAGGTGGGGAGGCAACACTGGAGGTTAAGAGCACTGACTGCTTTTCCAGAGGTCCTGAGTTCAATTCCCATTAACCACCGTGTGGCTCACAACCACCTATGAGATCTGGAGCCCTCTTCTGGCTTGTACATGCCAGCAGAACATTGGTTTTTGTTTGTTTTGTTTTTGATTTTTTGAGACAGGATTTCTCTGTAGTTATTGGTGCCTTTCCTAGAACTAGCTCTTTTAGACCAGGCTGGCCTCGAACTCAGAGATCCTCCTGCCTCTGTCTCCCAAGTGCTGGGATTAAAGGCATGCGCTTCCACTGCTCAGCCAGCAGAACACTGTATGCATAATAAATACATTTAAAAAAATTGCAACACTTCCTCCTTTGTTTTCCTCCCTCTTTGACTGACTGCAAACTCTTGGCTTCTTTTTTTCATTAACCGTTGTTAGATGCATATATGTGTATACATAGTCATTCCTATATATGATCTCAGTCTGTATGGTACTTGTATGTATGTTTTCAGGGCTGACATCTTGGTATTGGGTAACTAATGGGTGTGTCCTCGCTGGGGAAGACTATCTCTCCAGCTCTGGGCATTCCTCAGTTGCTGGTAGCTCCTGCTGTAGGCTGAGTCTTCGGGTTTTCACCATACTTTGGTATATCTACTGTCATCCTTGCTCTACAATGTGATTTTTAAAGGATATTCTCCTCTCAAAAAATGATGGGCTGGAGAGATGGCTCAGTGGTTAAGAGCATTGCCTGCTCTTCCAAAGGTCCTGAGTTCAATTCCCAGCAACCACGTGGTGGCTCACAACCATCTGAAATGCGATCTGATGCCCTCTTCTGGCCTGCCGGCAGACACACAGACAGAATATTGTACACATAATAAATAAATAAAATATTTAAAAAAAAAATGAAAACAGGGCTGGAGAGATGGCTCAGTGGTTAAGAGCACAGACTGTTCTTCCAGAGGTCCCGAGTTCAATTCCCAGCAACCACATGGTGGCTCACAACCGTCTGTAATGAGATCTGGCGCCCTCTTCTAGTGTGCGGGCATACATGGAGGCAGAATGTT